AAAGCGAAAGGGTAACCGTATGATTTCCTGTAAATTGGATTTTCATGGTGTGTATTATTTCGTGAAGATCAAATTGTCACCTTCTCGATGTTGAATATCACTGAAATTTTTTAAAAATTCTAATAGTTTTGTTTTTTTCTTCATCATTTAGATATTCAACTCGGTAATCGTGTCCCGATGTTATTTCATTACCTATTGCGTAATTAACTTCTTGTGTATAACTTTCTGGCTTTAAATATGCTTCAGCTTTTTCTGCATTTGGAGCCTGAACTAATTTCTTATGCTTGAACGATCTCTTGCTAATTATAATACTGTCATGACTCTAGTCAATAATGGCGTTATTTGCCTTTAATAAATTTCTGCCTAAAAGCATGTCATAATGAGGTGAAAAATCGTGTATGTAAAATATCAGGTCCTGCATAAAGAGTTTATTGGGTGCAGTGGATACATAATGATTTAGTTTTGATACCCCTGTCATAGTTCTCATCCAAGTAGGTCTTGAATATACTGGTATATTAAAAAAATTTCCCTCATCATATTTATTGACGACCCAGTGTCTATAGCGTCTGTTATTAAATGAGATTTCTATGTACTCGCTTGTCCCAAGGCTCCAATTGGAAAATTTTTCACATTTTATTTCGTTATTTTGAATCTCCTCGTATTGGTTGTTCTGACAACCATATTCTTCTTGTACGTAATTACCCTGATAGTTGTCGGATTGTTGATCATTTTCATCAACTTGCATTTTTTGGGAACCACTAGTTTTTTCTCGTATTCGCTTGAACGATTGATTTGGTATAAAGATATACCTGGATAAATATTTTGATTTATGGGGTTATTTGTTGCGCTCGTTGTCCCGTTGTTCTGTTTGAAATCTTGAACTAGTTGCTTATTTTGGTTAAAATTGGCTTGGTTGTTCGGAGGGTGTTGTGAAAAATTGAGACTTTGATTATTGTTAGTCATGTATTTTAGGGTTAATTGAGGTTTATTATTTCTTGTAATATTTATAACATTGTTAGTATTTTGATTTTTCTTATTATAATAATTTTCTGCGTAGTAGCCCTCCATTTGTGCTACTTGTTTTAATTTCGAGACAGTGAGTATGTCGTATCTTGCGAGTGACATAAAGAGTCTATCTGGTAGTTTCTTATGTATTAAGTTATTAACACTATTATTCTTAGCGTTGGTATACAATCTAGAATTATCTAAATTCCCTTCTCATTCTCATTTGTCCGTTATGATTATTATCTTAGCACCTACCTCACTACAAAACTCGTGTAAATTACCTTGATAATTGGTATTATATAACCTTTACAGTAGTTCTTCCACGGGTGTTTGCGTCGTGTATTCGGAGATTAAAACCTCCCTGAGTTGTTGCCAGTTGTTGATACTGGGTATTCTGATTACCTTCTGGACATCTCCGGATATCTGGAGCTCGATCGCCCCGAATATGATGCATTGTTGTCGTGCATTGTGAGTATATTACAGTTGAAGCAGGTAATCCATCCTTCTGATGAATGGACCCAGGGTTATGGGATCTCCCTCAAAGGCTGGCACGTTCCGTATTTGTTGAAGCAATTGGTTTAAATTCTGTTCGTTTAATTTATTCATTGCTGGCAGTGCAGCAGAATGAGAACCTTCTGGTTGCTCCATTTTTTAATAATTTTGGGTTTTTAGTTTATGTATCACAAAATGCACTGTGTTGCAACGACCGAATTGGATTTATTCGTTACTAGAATTGTTTAGACACGTTAAGTTCTTTTGCGGATAGCGAATTTCAGAATCGAAATATGTTCGATTTAATTGTAATACTGTGCACAATTACACTTGTTGATCACAGAAGACACCAGTTGTATGGATAAGCCTCTCTTTAATTGATCGTATAACTCACGAACTTTTAATTATTTCGTTTCATAAAATGTTACGCTATCCTACCGGTTGCGCCAATAACGTAGTTATAAGTTTTGGAAAAATAAAAAGAATTTATTTCATGAGAGTGCATTTTTATCTGTTTATTATGTTGAATATCGGGATTACGACTGAAAAACAATAATTGGCTTACGCTATATTTAAGGCTAAATAATAATTGGAGTACGTGACTTTTTGAAAAGGGACCGCAGCTGCAGCTTGTTTATGCTAGCGGCTTTCTGTTGGTCAGTTTTGGTTTATAAATTATTGAGGACATTATTTAAGCTTGGCTGCAGAAGGCATTCTACTCTTATGATTTTCGCTGATGTTAGCATTATTTGAATTCGGCTGCAGAAGGGATGCTGTTGTTATGATTATTCAATTTGTAAACATACAGTGGATTATACCATGCAATGCAGCTTATGAATAACAGTGGTTCAAAATTCTGTTGTTGTGAATATGTCAATATATGTATATACTTTATGGGGTCGGATATGTCTCTTTCTATGCGTTACACATTTTATACCCTCTGCAAGGGTATAAAAACGGTAACAAATTAAAGAAATCGAAAAAAACAAGTAAGAGGTTCTAGTTGGGAGCTCACGACTAGGGGATACCCTGACCCTCTTCTTCCAACATCAAATGCATATATATATTCTATTATAGAAGCTATATGTCAAGTTTGGTGACTCTAGCTCTTATTATTTACCAAAATTGCCCAAAAAACAGGATATCGATATCGATTTTAATCGATTGCTTGGAAACGGAGTAAGTTATCGATTATCGGAAACAAACTCGATCTGAGCAGGCACTAGGAGCACCTACATCTAAAATTTCAAGTCTCTAGCTCCTATAGGTTCTGAGATCCTTGCGTTCATACATTCGGACAGACGGACAGACGGACAGACAGAAGACGGACAGGCGGACATGGCTAGATCGATTCGGTGCTGATCAAAAATATAAATACTTTATGGGGTCGGAGATGCTTCCTTCTGCCTGTTACATACATTTGGATTTTGCACAAATACAATATACCTTTATACGCATTTTTAATGGGTTCAGGGTATAAAAGTGACAAAATAGTTAGGAGTAAATAATATCTCACATAACATGTAATACAAATGGATTAACTTATCAGATTGATCTATTGCTCTCTAAATGCTGGAAATAGCCACTCTGCCTTGAAAGTCAAGTAGATACCATTACTTCTACGAGAAAAGAGTGACACTGGATAGTATGTTGCTTGGAACTTTCTCAAAATATTTTTTTGCATTGCATTTGGATTCGCTCAAAAGCGGATAAAGTACGCTTCCGTATGGGGTTTTGGCAACAATCTATCATGACCCTTACCTTCTAGAATTTGAATTGTCACCCTTCCAAATTATATACATATAATTATGTATACGATATAGTTCATCATTCTGCCAGTCTGTTCAATGGCACCATGTCCATGTTTCCTAAAGTTTTAAAATTTACTGTCCAGAAAATGCGCAAGCTCTACACGCCGTGTCGTTGCCATCTTTTCCAAATCTTTGATATCGAAGGGAGAAGGCTAGTTTGACGGTATGGCACATGGTCACCCCTGGTTGCCAGGCTTGTGTATTCTCACTAACCAAACAACATATAGACTGGACATGCAGTGTAAAATTTCATATGCGGCTGGTCCAAAGTCGCCTTCGTTTTTGATCGGGTTCGAGTCACGCCTGCATGCCCAGACAGCAAGATAGTAAGAAATACATATGGAAATACAGTTTGTGCGATAGAACGGAATCGATGTTTTTTATCTCGGTCCCACTACGGGAAACTGCTTTTGCTTACTCTTAATGCTCATTCATTATTCAATTAAAGAATATTTTGCTGCGCAATCGAGCCTTAGGTGCTGTGGAAATTGCTTTGTTTAGTCCATACTTATTGATGATGCCTGTTTTTTCATGTACAGTTGTTGGATTTTAGGGCAATCGGAAAAATGACTCGCATTTGTGCGTAATTTTCCATGCTTGCCAAAACAATACGCATGTTAATATGTAAATTAATTAACATGTATATTTTAGCAGTTTACACTGACGATAACACATACATTCTTTTGCAAATTAACCGACTTCTTAGTTTCTATTGTTTCGGCCTTGTACAAAAATATATACTAATTCTTTCTTGATACTTTAAAAGAGCAATTATAATTGGTCCAATTTCTACAGACAGTGAGTGCCCGACAAGGGTCCGAATATTTACTTCCTAGGTTTTTTAATACATTTAAAAAAATGTTTCCCCTGCGGTGTGAAGCCCGCATCTATCTTAAGGCGACCAAGATACCTGCCGTCGCATCATGCCAGACAGCCGTATCAAAAATTGGATTTTTTAGAAAGAAAAAGTGAACCGAAATAGCAGCATAAACACACAGCACAGCATACAATACAATCGCAATTCTCATTCAAAGACACGCATATGACATATGCAAATGTGAATACATGATTAAATAAATTTTTGCGTTTTGGGTTAGCTTTGTTTGAATAACTTTTGTCTGCTAGCCGATCGTAACCGATATTATCCACCGGTTATATGTTTATATACAATTTATGTTTAGTGATTAGGTTACATAGATTTAGTTTACAAAAGTATAGCTAAGTAACGAAACAATAGTGAATGCGGTTCAGCTAGCAATGCAGCCAGAATTCACGGACTTCGGTACGTTTAGCTTACAACAATATGTGTAAATCACGAGATAAATAGTTAGCGAATACAATACGCAGCCATAATCCATGGAAGTTCTTTGACAGTACAGTCCTCGAATATTTATTACAGTAACTACATTAACTTTCCATCTGTGGAAGAGTGGAAGCACAAGGCGGAGGAAGTGGGGCTGGCAACACAGTCTACCAGACGGATGACGCATTTCTCAAGCGGAAATCTATCCCGTCTGGCAAGCGGCTAAACTGATCAGCCTCCTATCATAGTGATCGAATACTGGAACATGGTAGTACCATCGACCCTTGCGAAAAGTGATATGTGAAGACCTTAACAATAGTTCACTTCAATAGTCCATCCGTAATCCGGGTGAACATAATAAAAAAGACCACTTTTTATAATCAATTTAAGAATAATTATTTATTTCCCTTAGTTTCTAATGAACTTTTACAACGTAGGATTTAGTTAACATTTGAAGATTTTAAATATGATGAATTCGACAGGGATTTAGGAAAACGATTTAAATAGCGTTCAAGTCGAAGAAACTTAATTGATATCAGCCGCTTATCAAACCACCACCCATTTATTTCGTTGTGAACTATTCCAGCGTCTGCTTCACTGGCACATCGTATATACACACAGCAAGACTGGGTATCTAGTTGGATATCACAAATGTTGCAACTTGGACCTACTTTTTCAAATATGGATTCTATGATCGATTGCCTTAAATTATGTTCTTTTATTTCAGTGGCATCAAACATGTGTCTTATTTTTAAGCAAGATGTAGGCGGATTAAGTATTTTATTCGAGTTATCAAACGCAGAGCTTTGCCATTTTTTTGATGTGCCAAAGTCCCTTATGGCAATGTTTTTATTCAATGTAATAGTACGTAGTTGTTCTCCATTTCGTATAATCATACCAAATATCACACGGTTATCATTTCCCTCTAAGATCTGTAGAGCCTTGTTCCAAGAATATAACAGTTTATGGCGGTTCTGAACTGGTACAAATTTATCTTGTAATTGATTGATTAATATCTCCGAATTTTCTGCATGGGAACATCGATACATTAATTCGTTGATTATATCTTTAATAAACTGTTCAGTTATTAATAGACTTTCTTTCTGTTTCATACGATACACAACAGATAAGAAATAAACTATTAAACATCCTGATATAACAACAATAAGTAACCCAAGAACTGTAAAGAATCGTGTAATTTTTTTGAAAATAAGACACTTGAATGGTAAATTTGGTTCAAGAAGCTCGAATGAGACAGTTTTCTCTGAAGAGTTATAAGTTGAAACAATTGTATTTATCATCCACTGTGGATTTTGAGCGATAAGGTACTCCATAGCCAATAGTTTATTTTGCAGGTTATGCATTTCACTGTTCCTGCTTAAAGCTTTTCTAAACTCACGCATGTCTAGCATTGCAGAATGATCTTCGCTTATACAATGGTGTAGTCTTGCTCTTTCATTTAAACACTTAAAAAGCTCATTACTTATGTACATCGCCTTATTTAACAAATCTTCGTTGATACACTTAATTTGTTGAGAAGAAGCTTGTGGATTGTTGTCATTTTCATTACACATGGTATATTTTATGTCTTTTTGGGAAATAGGACTAGAGTCAAATTTTCTTGCGGTGTATAAAATTGAAATCATTATTAAGAAAAGTAATAATGAAGCAATAAGAACTGGTGGTATTATATTTTGGCTAACATCAGGTGTTTTTAGAAACGATTTTGCGTTAAAAGCAAACAATTTTTGTATAAAACTATTTCTCATCAGTGATTTTGAAGCATGTACAGGGTATCCATCTTTGAACGATATTTTTTTTTTAATTGAAGCATCGCGAAAACTTAGTAGTCTGTTAACAACACCTCCATCACAATTATTAGATTTTCCATATACCTTAAGGTATCCGGCCGATTTATCTGTCGAGTATACAAGCGGCTTACGATATTTACTAGGAACGTTTAAGGAATGCAGTTCATTTTCATTTTCATAATCAGATTCTAAAAGGAGTCGTGGCGCATAAACCGTTAATCCAACATTTTTTACGGTATTTTTATCTGCATGGCATTTATGGTATGATGAAAGATTACGACGAACATTAACCTTGTTTTCAAGATCATTTTCTAAGATATTTAAGCTTTCTTGTATAGGAATTGTAGGACGCGGATGCTTTTCATTACAGTAAAGTACATAATTTGTGATTTTTCCACTTTTTAGTTTTTCTTTTTTTATATTTTTTAATATTTTTTTGATTAGTATAGGCCTTGTCGTTTCAGTTACTGGAGTATTTGGAAGTCCCATTTGCATTAATATTCTTTGTATCTCAATATCGCTCAAACGGTCAAAATATTCAGCTGACATTTTTGCCTTAAAAAAATTTATAACATTTGTTAATTGGGGAAATTCTATTTTAAAACCGCACATTAAATATATAAAACAAGTAATAGTTCTAGTCGGGAGCTCCCGACTAGGGAATACCCTGAACCCTCTTATTCCAACACCAAATGCAGTTCGCGCAATGCGCTCGCTTGAAATAATAAATATAAATTAAAAAAAAAAGTTCCCTTGGCAGGGTTCGAACTCGCAACTCCGGTAGGGCTCGAACTCGAGACAGACCGCACCACTTGCCAATGCTTCTACTCAACAACCACACCAATAATTGAATTATTATTGAAAAAAACAAGTAAGAGGTTCTAGTCGGGAGCTCCCGATTAGGGAATACCCTGAACCCTTTTTCCAACATCAACTGCATATATATATTCTATTTTAGAAGTTATATGTCAAATTTGGTGACTCTAGCTCTTATTTACCAAAATTGCCCAAAAAACAGGATATCGATATCGATTTTTATCGATTGCTTTAAAACGGAATACGTTATCGATTATCGGAAACAAACTCGATCTGCGCGGGAGCTAGAAGCACCTACATTTAAAATTTCAAGTCTCTAGCTCTTAAAGGTTCTGAGATCCTTGCGTTCATACATACGGAGGGACGGACAGACAGATAGACAGACGGACATGGCTAGATGACTCGGCTATTGGTGCTGATCAAGAATATATATACTTTATGGGGTCGGAGATGCTTCCTTCTGCCTGTTACATACATTTGGCTTTCGCACAAATACAATATACCCTTATACACATTTTTAATGGGTTCAGGGTATAAAAAAAGAATTAAAATAGCAGCACAGAAAACAATGTAATGCTCTTGATCGAATTCGAAGCAGATGCGCATGAATGTGTGTGTGTACATGTATACAGAAATTCTTTTAATCACTACACATAGCGTTTGTGTTTTTCTTGACCGATCTTAATGAAATTTTTTCAGTATATATATTTGTACCAAAGAATATTTGTGTATTCTCAAAAAGTCAATTGCATTAAAATTGTGACTTAAATTGGTGGGCAATATAAGTTGGGTTATTAACTTGATTTATAGCTCTGCGGTGGTAGCGCGGAGGTTTATATTTAATTTTATATAGATTTAATATTCTAGAAGCAACATATCATGTTTGGTGACTCAAGCTCTTAATATTTAACCAATTTTCTCAAAAACCGAATGTCGATATCGATATTTAACAATTGTTTGGAAACGGAGTAAGTTATCCAATATCGGAAACAAACCTGATCTGCGCAGGCACTAGGATAACTTACAGTTAAACTTTCAAGTATCTTGCTCTTATAGGTTCTGATACGCATGCGTTCATACATACGCATAGACGGACAGACGCACGGAGGGAAGGCCAGACATGCGGACATGGCTAGATCGACTCGGCTTTTAATGCTGATCAAGAATATATATACTTTATGGGGTCAGAGATGCAACCTTCTGCCACATTTGCACAAAAACATTAAATCCTTTTTACCCATTTTTAATGGATTCAGGGTAAAAAAAATTGTAAAATAATAGTCTGTTATTTAAAAATGTCGCAGTTTAAATTACATATTTTTTTATAAGACTAACGTTTACTTGGTCTGTTACCTTTGTTACCTAATGGACTTAGTGAAAACAAGTGAAGAGAAAACGCTCTTGGCGGAAAAGCTCGACTCGCTGTGTTAAGATTAATGACGTTCGTGAGTCTCCGCGTCAATAAGAAAACAACTGAAAATATAAATTGGGAGAAAATAGTTAAATATTAAGCTTAAAATTTACATACAGTTGTGTAACAAATATCGAAAGTTTTTTGTCATAAAGAAATTAAAGCTTGTATAGTGTTATCAAATATTGGAGCGGCGGGAGCGATCTCTCACTTTTGCCAAATTTTTCTTAACCCCATAAAAGTTTTCGAGTTTTTAAACATCTTAAGCAAAAATCATAAAACAGCTTTTAGTATGCAGATATAATTATCATTATTACAAAAAAAAATATAAAAAAAATATATCGTACTAGCTTGTATCGAAACCATATTGAACCATTTCAAGTCGACTCGAAGAGTTACGACCCCCAATTAATTCAAGAAGCAAGTGTGTATTCATATTTCGAAATAAAGTAAATTTAAGGAAAAAATCATTAAAATGTATTTTTATAAACAAACAGATATTAAGTTCTTATTCCATAATAGGGGAAGAACAAGATATATAGCTACGCTTTCTTTAATAACTCATATGTGTTTCCTAACTGATCCAAATAATATTTTAAGTATATATTACACTCACTTGTTAAAAAAATTATATATATATATATATATATTCTGTGAGGTCGTTACAAAAAATATGCACAATAAATTTCAAATATATGTTCTCCCATGCCATAAACAATCGAGCTTATAATTTTTTGTCCATATGTCGACCCATTTCCAAAAATATCGTTAAAAGTCTATTTTGAGACTTGGTGTTTTCATTATAAATCAAAAACTATATGAGCTACATACACCAAATTTGGTATTAAGCTTTCATTTACTACACACATGTAACAGATATTTTTCTTTTTGGATACCTCGCCAGTTCCCATCGTAATTGAAAAACTAAAACATACAACATTTTCATTAAGTTATCAAGAAATCCTCACATGAGATAATATAGTAATTGATAAGCTTCAGTTTCAACTTAAGTCGACACTTTCATTGCTGAGCTACAAGGCCAGCCGCTTAGCCGAGTTAAGTCGAAGCCGTCGCGGGAGAACTAAGATGGCCTACATATTCATCATTCATGAAGATGGGATAAAAAACATAAAAGTTATTTAACATTACATTTCCAAAAGTGTGGCGCAGGCAGAAAAAGCTGACCTGGCTGCACACAACGGATATGCTGATAATGTGAAATTATGCCTTGGCATAATGCAATTTTTTACAAACTGACTTCTGTCTTGGTTTCAAGCGAACTTGTTTAATTTAAACTGTTGTAATATACTTTCTATAGAAGTCATCTTCATTTAGTTTCCTATATCCTTTACAGCCGAGCGTGTCAGCAGTACTTGTAATGAAGTTAATGATCTAGGTGTCATTCTTGATCTTAGTCTTAAATTCGACCCTCATGTTACGACCGTGGTCAATAAGGCCAGAATTGTTTTGTTTTTCATCAAGCGTTTAATGGAGTTTATTTTCCGTACACTACAAATACCCTTCATTTATCTTTGGTACGATATAAGATAATTACGGGCATAAACAACTTTTCTGGGTTGACTAGCAAATTTAACTTATCCATCCATACTAGACTAACACGTAATTACAGACCTTTATGTTGCTGAACTAACTATGCCTTGCCGTTCAGGGTTCTCTGTGATGATTATAACATGCATTACAGAGTAATTAGCTCGTAGTCTTCTCTTCCTTTAATAAAGTCATCTATTCTAAACTATTTAGCAAGTAGTAGTAGTCTTTGTATATATTCGTGGTTTGTTTTCGTTTCTTACTTAGCGACTCGTAGTTCTCGTGGCCCCGAGGTCGGTTGGGCGGGAGGTGTTATGCATGCATCGGGACTCGCGCGAAAAGAAAAAAATCTAAGACAGCGTTTTTTTGCCAGCATGCACACCTAAAAATATATCGATACTTATGGGGCTTGGGTAGAAGGCGATGGCAATAGATAGGTAAAAATTTCAAAAAGTGTGTTTTATTTGCTGTTTCTTTTTAAGGATTATGTGTATGTATATATGCACACATGTGACGAAACATTGTTCAAAATAATCGTTGCTCATTTCTTAATTAAATCCTGATCCTATTGAAAATGAGTAAAATTGTATGTAAAATTGTAGCACAACTACTTGCTAGTGGTACGTTAAAATAAATGTTCACAAAAAGCTTTGAAAATGATTTTGAAACTGATCGGACGGTAAACAAACAACTTTCATACAAACGTTTTCCGCCAACTTACCACTGTTACGGTCGGAATTTACAAATTGCTGAAACACGTATTCATTAAATTCTTATGTAGAGATTTGATTTTCATCTTTAATCTTTCTGTTTGCAATACGGTCCCCACAAAACAGCCCATCTTAAAGGCGTCGGGGTAAAAGGGAAGAATTATTGACTACTAAATCCCACTGTTATTGAATTTGTAAATTCCGACCGTAACAGTGGTAAGTTGGCGGAAAACGTTTGTATGAAAGTTGTTTGTTTACCGTCCGATCAGTTTCAAAATCATTTTCAAAGCTTTTTGTGAACATTTATTTTAACGTACCACTAGCAAGTAGTTGTGCTACAATTTTACATACAATTTTACTCATTTTCAATAGGATCAGGATTTAATTAAGAAATGAGCAACGATTATTTTGAACAATGTTTCGTCACATGTGTGCATATATACATACACATAATCCTTAAAAAGAAACAGCAAATAAAACACACTTTTTGAAATTTTTACCTATCTATTGCCATCGCCTTCTACCCAAGCCCCATAAGTATCGATATATTTTTAGGTGTGCATGCTGGCAAAAAAACGCTGTCTTAGATTTTTTTCTTTTCGCGCGAGTCCCGATGCATGCATAACACCTCCCGCCCAACCGACCTCGGGGCCACGAGAACTACGAGTCGCTAAGTAAGAAACGAAAACAAACCACGAATATATACAAAGACTACTACTACTTGCTAAATAGTTTAGAATAGATGACTTTATTAAAGGAAGAGAAGACTACGAGCTAATTACTCTGTAATGCATGTTATAATCATGACAGAGAACCCTAAACGGCAAGGCATAGTTAGTTCAGCAACATAAAGGTCTGTAATTACGTGTTAGTCTAGTAGGGATAGATAAGTTAAATTTGCTAGTCAACCCAGAAAAGTTGTTTATGCCCGTAATTATCTTATATCGTACCAAAGATAAATGAAGGGTATTTGTAGTGTACGGAAAATAAACTCCATTAAACGCTTGATGAAAAACAAAACAATTCTGGCCTTATTGACCACGGTCGTAACATGAGGGTCGAATTTAAGACTAAGATCAAGAATGACACCTAGATCATTAACTTCATTACAAGTACTGCTGACACGCTCGGCTGTAAAGGATATAGGAAACTAAATGAAGATGACTTCTATAGAAAGTATATTACAACAGTTTAAATTAAACAAGTTCGCTTGAAACCAAGACAGAAGTCAGTTTGTAAAAAATTGCATTATGCCAAGGCATAATTTCACATTATCAGCATACATTAATACTCGGACATTATCGAGTGAGGTCATTGATGAAACATCGGTAGTCACCAGAATAGGTTTGGAAAACAAATTTCTGAAAATAACCTTTTAGGTTTTGTAACGCAAATACTCTGAGATCCAGTTCAAAAGATTGACTTGTTTACCCAATTTGATCATACGTTTCTTTAATAACATAAGTTCTTAATAGATAATGATGTAATTACTGGCAGTAGATCTTTTTGGTTTATATAATACGCGTATAATCACAAATGAAATTGTGCTCTAAGTTTATGACTGTAGCGGTAATTCGAATTTTAATGCCCTGACCCCATTAAAAATGGGTAAAAATAATATAATATAATGATATGAAGTTAACTTATGTAATGAAGATGTACGCAAAGACCGCAAAATATAATACCCTTGCAGAGGGAATTATAATTTTGTCGTGAAATGTGTAACTCATAGAAGGAGACATCTGCGACCCCATAAGGTATTTATATTCTTGATCAGCATCAACAGCCGATTCGATATAGCCATGTCCGCCTGTCTGTTTCTATGCGAAGTAGTCCCTCAGCTTTAAAGCTATCTTAATGAAACTATGCTTTCTGTTGCACGCAGCACATATGTCAAAACCAGTTGGATCGGAGCACTATATCATATAGCTGCCATAGGAACGATCGGTCGAAAATTAAGTTTTTATATGAAAAAAACATTTTGTTTATCAAGATATCTTGACCAAACTCGGTATTTATTAGTTTTACTAAGCTCCTCATATATATGCAAAATCCTATTAAGATCGGATAGCTGTCATCTAGCTGACATAGGAACGATCTGTAGAAAATTAAGTTTTTGTATGAAAAAACACTTTGTTAATCAAGATATCTTGACCAAACTCGCCATTTATTACTTTTACTATACTCCTCTTATATATGCAAAATCCTATTAAGATCGGACCACTATATCATATAGCCATAGGAACGATCGATCGAAAATTAAGTTTTTATATGAAAAAACATTTTGTTTATCAAGATATCTTGACCAAACTCGGTATTTATTAGTTTTACTAAGCTCCCCATATATATGCAAAATCCTATTAAGATCGCACCACTATATCATATAACTGACGTAGGAACGATCGGTCCAAAATTAAGTTGTTGTATGAAAAAACATTTTGTTTTTCAAGATATCTTGACCAAACTCGGCATATATTACTTTTACTATACTCCTCATATATAGGGAAAGTCCTATAAGGATCGAACCACTATATCATATAGCTGCAATAAGAACGATCGGTCCAAAATTAAGTTGTTGTATGAAAAAACATATTGTTTTTCAAGATATCTTGACCAAACTCGGCATTTATTACTTTTACTCTACTCCTCATATATATGCAAAATCCTATTAAGATCGGACCGCTATATCATATAGCTGCCATAGGAACGATTAGTCGAAAACTAGGTTTTTGATTAAAAACCTTTTTTGTTTTTCAAGATATCTTGACCAAACTCGGCATTAACTCTTTTCCCTGTGCTTCTTA